AACGATTGATGTTGATAAAGATGAACAGTCTGCATCCTCTTACAATAAGTCTTTATTACTGTTGTTTCACTTTACTGTTCACAGGTTGACTCCAGTGACCTCGCCTCCAAACCAGCTCTGATAGCCTCTATGCTGGACCCTCGTCACAAACATCTCAGCTTTCTGACACCAACAGGGAGACTCGCTGCAAAGGTTAAACTGCATGAACTGGTTTCAAAATTAGATGTTAAAACTACTACTGTGGGCACAAAGGATGAACAACAGGAGACTCTGGTCACGCCTGATATTAGCCAGGTGGCTATGCCCTCACAAATGAGAAGTGACACCAAAAACACCATGATGTTGCTCCTAGGGGACAACTATAGTTCCTCCTATGCGACAGACTCTGAGGCTCAGGTAGATTACTACTTGAGAGACATTGCTCCCTCACTGGACATAAATCCTCTTGACTGGTGGAGGGTAAATGGACCAAGGTTCCCCAAACTGGCCACTCTAGCGAGACACTATCTGTGTGTACCTGGGGTTTCGCTGCCATCTTTATTGTCAGAGGCTGGGCAAGCATTTGCAACAATGCGCACAAGACTGAGCCCAGAGCACGCTGACATGATGATCTTTGTAAACAGAAATGTGTAACTTGCGCAACCCAATATGATGGTGTACACTGACTTTGTATATAGATAAAACAATAAGGTTACTGTAGAGCAGTAAAGGGCAAGATGCCTTGACTGGATGTTGCAAGAGTCAGGGAGGACGGGGATGGCAGGGCTGTTACGACAGCAGGTTCTCTTCTCTTATAATGGTGATATATCTGTTGGGCCTAATAATGCTACACACAAAAAGTCTGTCAGCAAAAACAGATTCTGATACTCCTGGCTTGAACAGTGGACAATAAGTCAGTAATACAATTATGTCAGTGATATCTGAGTAAACACATGGTGACTACAAATACTTGGCATTCAACATCATACACCAGGTATCCGAGACCCTCCAGTGGAGGATGCCAACACTGCACTAGTCTTTCATACACCTCACTTACCTTAACACAGGTATTATGTATTATGTGCATGATGGTTCGCAAACCTATTTTGAATATATTTACTTACAGCAGTTCACAAATTGGGGTGAAAATCACAAGGAAAAAAAAACAATGAAGCAGCAAAATAACTCGTTCGTACCTTTGTTACCATAATAGCATTATCAGTACTTATATTATCAGTTAGAGCTGGATAAAAATATCAATTTTCCTATTAAGTATGATTTGTCTTTGAAAGATTCAATATTGGTTCTTGAAATCCAGAGACTGGTCTTTGCATCTGTGCCTTTTCTCACTAAATACCTACATTTGTGCTAAATGTTATATTTGCACTTCAAAGTGATCACTGAAGTGGATGTCTGGACTTAGCTGGAAGCATCTGCTATTGTTTGTGACTCTATGGGATAGCATTTATTTTTTAAATTATGCATGACGATAAATCAAAATGAATGGTCTCAAAATCTAACTGAATAAAGAGATCAGTATCAATATCCAGCCCTATTATCAGTATAGCTAGGAACTCAGTGACCAAACAAGCCACTGTATTATTACCAGTATTAATGTGATGTCTTTTCTGTGTGCTATGCCAAAATAAAATACATACAGCTGTAGCAGATGTGTGATGATCTGTCTGGGGATCAGCCGTTTCTGGCACATGGTCTTTGCATCCCAAACCACAGCCTCAGTGATGGTGCTGTCCTGGAAGCGACGCAGCTCGGAGCGAGAACCCCACAGCTGACGAAACTCAGATGCCTAACAGAGGAACACTGCTGTTGTTAATAATCAATCATTGCACAAGCATGGTAACATAGAAATGATGAAGAATAACTTGTATAATAAGAGAAAAGAGAGAAGAATAACTTATAACTGTAACCACTGTACATAAAATAACTCATTTTAACATGTATATATGTACATATTTTGAAATAGATGGTTGTTTGTCTTCTTGTTTTTTTTACTTGTTATTCTTATTTGCACTGAGCTGTATTCAAATTCCTTGTATTTTAACATCATTGGCATTAAAGTTTATGATTGATTTGATTGATTGAGAAACAAGTCCACAAAACCAATAAACACCTGTACTGTTTCTCTCCAACAACTGTTTGTTTCTATTGCTTGATACAAAAAAAAAAAGCCTTTTGCAAATGGCAGTCTAAGAAATGGAGTTGAGTTGTAACCATAAATGCTGCATCTGGTTAAGTTATTATAATAGCACTACACTCTTAAAACATTTACATCTATACTCACAGTCAAAAACACTACACCAAACTGTCCTTTCTCAATAAGAGAAAACAATTATGTTTAGCCTATGTGAAAGTTTACATCTCAGGTGTAAAGGCCATACTTCCCTCATCAATCAAATACAGTGTGCAAGCACACTGTTACAATGAGTAAATACCAAAACAAATTGGCTCCCACTTTGTAGCATTCCTAATATTGCACTCATGTAAGGCAAAATGACCTCATCTTAAATCCCAGTAGGGTTGAATTTATAAGTATGACAACGCACACACATGTACAGAAGAGAGACAGGTGAGGTTACCTTAGGGCTGTCTGCAGGGGGGCCTCTTTCCAGAACAGAGGCCGCCAGCTCTGGCTCTAAGAGCAAACCGAAGGAGAGAGGAGGCTGATCTCTGTGTTTTGGGGCGTCACTCTCCACGGACCACTGTGACAAAGCAAAAATAAAAAAGTTTAACAAGTGTGTTCTGCCATTTGAGTGAGCCAGACATGAGTGACTGTAACTATCTCCCACCTCAGGGTCAGGAGAGAGGGAGTGGGTGAGGAGGCGAATCCTTTGGCCCAATCCTTGCTGAAGCAGGGACAGAATAAAAGGGAGCACAGTGTGGATATAATTTCCACTGTGGTCCATCAGCTCACTGAGGAGATTCAGTTTCTTACAGCTGGACTGAAGCTTCACCAGCTCACATAATCTGAGTGGGAGATAAAAAGCACAAAAGAGAAGAGCTGACAGGATGAAGACGGGAAGTCTGTCAAACAATGTGAAAGGGCCCTAGCAATAAAAATGGAAACTATATTCAGCATGAATCTATAAAAGATAACATTTCAAAGACAATCAGAAATGGTGTGTTGAAAAGGAGGAGTAAAACTAAGCTGGTTGTGTAATGTATGATGTACTGTAATTAGTTTTTGTTGTAGTAGCATGTAAACAGAGCCATACTGGAATACATGGTCACTTGTCCTCATCATGGGTTTGGGAGTCATGAGGAGGCTGTGGAACCCATCCACTGTAGGGTTGTCCCAGAACTGCATCGACACAGAAGCCTCATGCTGCAGCTGAGAACCAGTGTGAAAATGGTCACAACCTGTTGCTTAATCTCACCAGCCAATCATGTGTTTTCACAGTATTTACCTGTTTGTAGGTACAAGCAGTCATGTCAGCACACAGGTTGAGATGGCCTGAAGGGTCAACAAACACAACCTGGAAAGCACTGTGGAACTCTGCAAGAGATGGCTGCAGAGAAAAGATGAAAGAGGGGACGGTAACAAGTAATTTAGGAAGTAAATAAAGTTTTTAACAACCTGCATGTTAATGTTTATGCTTTTAAATTTGAGATAGACAACTCACAGCTGTAAAGTCAGGATCTCTGGCGAGGCTAATCCCATTCACTGTCAGATCCGTAGATGCTGAGGGTTCAAAACTGTGATTAGTACAACTACCTTATATAATATCACACTTTATAAAAACCTAAAACCTGTGGTTTAGCTGATGTTACATTTTCTTACCCAGAAAGTTCAAGCTGTTTCGCAGCAGCTGATAGGCTGTCATAGTGTTACTGATTCGGTGGGTGGTCAGCAGATAAGCCAACAGCATTGATGCCAGGAAGCCACTGAAACAACCAGTGCCCTGCAAGACATTGAGAGAACGATAGAAAGGTGAGGTGAGATAAACAGTGTCAGATGTCTAAAAAAAAGATGGGAGTAAACTGTGTAGAACCTGTTCGAGCTCTCTTTGACGAAGCCACACTTTGAGCAAAGCCACCCCATTGGCAAAAGATGAGCACTGGGAGCTGATAGCACAAAGAAACTGGAGATGAGCCCTGGGCAGCAAATCCCCCAGGACAGAGCTATTGTAATGTGGAGTGGGAGGGTCGATGCGCTCTGCAACAAACAAGAAAGAAAGGAAACTGTTCTTAATATAAAAAAAAGAAGAACATTTGTGAATTAAACTGTTGCTGAAAAACAATAAAGTCCTGGAGTTATGGCCAAAAATATTGGCACCCCCACTTTTCTGTCAGATAAATGCACTACTTCTCCCAGAAAATGGCCGCAATCACAAATTCTTTGGTATTTTCATGTTTATTTATTTTGTTTGCATTGGAATAACACAAAAAGCCACATCTGATACATTCCACACAGAACTCCAAAAATGGAATGGACAAAATGCAGGGGTGCCAATAACTTTGGTCATGACCGTATGTATGAGAAAAAGTGACCGCCAGTAATATTGAAACCAAGATGGATAAAATTTGAAGAACTAGTTGTATAAATGTACAAGCTTACCAGACTTGGAGGCCTGCAGTTCAGTGTACCACTCTATGCGGATGTTATTCCTCTGGGGGTGGAAACGGCTGGGCCTGAAAAACCCAGGAGGCGGACAGGCATGAACACGGATGCTGAAGCTGGAAGAGTCTTTACCTGAAAGATGGGACACAACAACACAGCTTATTTCACAACCATAACCAAATTAAATGCTATTTTATATATGCAAAAAGGGGCTAATATACAAAACATTATTTGCTGATGAAAATACATAAAGTGAAAACTATATCCAGTGCTCTTGAAGGTTACAATATTGTGTAAAATCAAACATTAACTACCTGGAGGTGTCAGCAGCAGAACTGGTCGTAGTCGATTTCCATGGAGACAAGAGTAACGCATGGTTCCAATGTCAGAGGAGGATGTGAGGTACTGGGCCAGGCCTGCCAGGTAGAGAGCTCTCTTCCTCGGATACCTCTGGTTAATCACATCCTTTGGGTGGAGGACATCCTAATGACAGAGACGTGAGCAGACATATGAAAGTTTCTCTCATGATTTATTGTTTGTATTGTCGTAGTGCATTGAATACACAATAACAGCACACTGCTCTCTTGGATTAAAATTATGTACTGAAAGAGAAAAGGTCAAGGTGACTTACAGCTGGAATTGTGACAGCCAGGTCCACCATGATGCGTGGTTTGGTGCAGGTGCCCAGGGGGTAGCTGCCGATTAGATCAACAGAAGCAGGAGGTGCCATGTGGAACTTGCCCTTTGTTGTTTTGGGCACCAGGAGGAAAGGGACCTTAACTGCACCAGACAGCCATGACAGGTCACTCACCTGAACACAAAGAGAGGCTGAGTAGAATGCACTGTAACAGATGGTTGTGCATTTGTGAAGAGCATGAATGAATGGAACTAAACATCTACTGTATGTTCAATCATGATGCTTTTCTAACTGTTAAAGTGCTACATACCTCCACCTCTGGTGATTCTGGCACAGTCTGGAGCAGATTAGTGACTGTCTGAATGAAAGAATCTATGTGCTGTTTCCTTCTCTCACTCAGGGCAATCTCTTTCAGCAGCTCTTCCATCTGTTATTGGTAAAGATCACAGAACTTTACTAGCACTGTGTGAAAGCGTGTGTGGTTTTTCTGGCATAGGCTGAAAAGCTTGATTTAATACAAAACCCCCTTGGCTCTGTTCATCCTCCTTTTCCATGTTCATATCAGTAAATCAGAAGTCTAACCTGCATTTTGAGAAGGCTACAGTGAAACAAGCTTTCTGCCTCTTTCAGCTGGCTGAGCTCCTCTGCGGTAGGAGGTCTGTACAGGTCACTTCTGGACAGCTTCACTGGGTGATAGACCACCTCCTCAGTTTTGCTCCTTTTGGCTTTAACGGGAGCCTCACCTCCCTGCTCCTCTTGAGAGGATTCTGGGGGAATCATCTGTAAAATAGCAACAGCACAACATACCCAGTAGCAGCAACAGCTTAATTCGATTCAATTTTAACATGTCCACTTAAAGTACTTGTAACAAATCAGTATGTATCGATTGTACATTTCTGCTTTATATTAACTGAACACTGTACGTTAAACAAAATCTTACCGATATAACTTAATTGCAAAACTGTACGCAAAGCATGCCCGTGTTCCAGAAATTAAAACTGTTAAGCCGCGGTTAGCCCCTACGCACCTGAATCGTAATAAATGTTGCCAGTCTTACCTCTACTTTGTCCTCTGCAACCGCCTGCTTCTTTTTCATGTCTGGTATGCTTTTAAAGTTGTGATAATCCCAATATTTTGAGTTTTAATCAAACCTGCTTTCCTTTCATTGCGCTCTCACATGTAACGGGTCAGTGAAACGTGCTACCCAGTAAACTATTCCACGATTGGCGTAGAAGCGGTGGCACTGAATGGTGATTGGCTTGTTGCTAGTTACGCTAGAGCGTCCTAGCGACTTCAACAAGATAGGTTGCATTAGCAGTCTCAAGTATGATTGGTGCTCCAGCGCGAGCGCACCCCAACCCCATTCAGAAATGAGAGGTACATAATGAATGGATGGATTGATGGATGTTTTATTCCTTAGCCTTTTATATTTATAATTAACCGATTGTAAACTAACGTAACTTAGATTGTTATTTACATTATCATATTACAGTTATCGTTACCTCTGTTACATTTGATTCAGTTCCTTGACGTTTTAATTGCATGGGTGCATTAAGGACGTGGTGACCTAACCCAACAGAAATGTGAACAGCAGCTTGTTTGCTGACATAAAATATGGGCACCGTAACCTCCGAGCAGCACAAAACTTTGATTATGAATCAGAAACTTTGCAGACAGGATATCTGAGTTACATTAAGGTTGAACATTAATTCCATAAAATCCCAATTGAATAAACAAAATAATAATAATAATAATAAAATAAACATAAAATCACACTTGATATTAAGATTGTGTCCTGTATCCTGGCTCTTTTGGGCAGTATTCACTCAGTGGCATAGGCTGTTCACTTTGTGTTCAAAAGCAGAAACATCATGCTGCTTAATATGAAAGAATGGCCTATTTTCCGGAATTACCATTACCAACTGATGAAGATCATAGTCATATCTCCCCCTCATGTGCCGCCTGCACTCCATTTAACGGGATTCCCCGCCCTTGCTGCTACGTAACAAGCGGCATGTCAATACAAACAAATGGAACACATCCTGATGATCGGTGGCTGGGGATTGGGGTTTGGCAGCACTGTATCAGCAGTAAAGTCCTACAAGTTCCTGGGCTCATAAGGTGAGTACTGAAAAGACTCAGCCTTTCCTCTTTGTCCAACATGATTGCCATGGCAATTTACAGTACGGCTATGTTTTTGGAGGAGTTTCTCTTGCTAACCATCTGACTACCTACATGCTGTGGCACCAGTTTATTGTTGTAGGACCTCCAGGCACACTCATAATGGAAGTACTGAGGGGTCTTAATTTTCTCTGTCCCTCGCTGCCTGCCTAACATGCCCACCATGGCCATCTATTTTTGTTAGTCTGACTCTCTGTCTGTCTCATGTCCTACAAACAGAGCAGTTTAGTTGTTAACCATCTGACTATTTCATGCCCCTCGCCCATTTACAAGGATCACATACGGTTATTGTGCAAGTCGAGCATTTTAATAGTGCTGCACTTCTTTGGTTATTGGGGTAAAATCTTAGGTTGGTTCAAATTCAAGTAAAAATTGATCAAACAAATTTAACATGATTATTTGTTTTATTGCTTTTTAAATTCAAATCTCAGCATATATATGGAGCAGCATCAGATTATGTGCATAATGTTAGAGCCAGTTACTATAAGGTACACTTTTAGCTAAAACTAATTCATTCTAATACAAGTCTTGCTTTATAGCCTACACCTATAAAGGTAATAACCTTCAGATTTTGTTCAAACTGTCTTAGAGAGGTATTGATTCAGCTAATATAATC